GAGAGAGAGAGAGAGAGAGAGAGATTCCTGCTCTTTTAGATAAAATTTGAAGACAGATTAAAGTAAAGATGATTGTGGGAATGAATTTATGTATATTATCAATGTAAATAGTTGAAGGGTTATAAGTTTGGGTCTTGGGTATGAGTTTTAATAAAAAATAATATGAGTTAAAAATTATTTTATTAATTTTTATTAAATCTTAACTTAGTTTACATAATTATTATTATAATTTTGAGATTATAAATTTGAATGTACTTATATTTCTATAAAGGATAATATAAATTCAATTCTTGAAGAGTATTTTAAATTAATAGATATTGGTGTTACATTGTAATTGGAGTATTGGACTGCAGAGGTTCGACAGTTCACTACAAATTGTGATAAGTTTAATAGTACACATCAAGGAAATTTTGGAAATAAGATGAAATTAGGATTAATTATTTTACTTTTAAAGTTTATTTTGATTTTTTTGTTAGAGATAATTATTTATATCGTACCAAATGTTAATATGAAAAAGAGTTATGAAAATTTATAATGATTCATCCCTTCTGATTTAACGTAAAATTTTAACACGTAACTTTATAAAGGTGAAATATAGAATATATTAATTGAAGAAGATGATCATTATGGAAGAAATTCCTAAAAAGATAGAGAGAATGTCATTTGTGAGTCTTGTATGATGCCTTGTATACATGTTCCCTTAATGTTGGTTATTTGTAGATCGTTAGGAAGAATAGATATGATTGTTAGTGGATCATGTGAGTCTGTTAGTTGTATTATCAAAGGTCATAATTATTAAAGAATATGAAATTTTAGAATCTTCGAAGAACTTCAGAGGATATAAAACTTCTAAAGAATGACAATAAAACTACAACTTACGAAATAAATCTTAATGAAATATAAAATAATATATATTTTATCGCAAATTATATGTACAATAAGTCATTTAATTTTCATTTGAGTATATTCAAAAATATTTTATTATTAAAAAGATTTTATCCCATATGAGTAAGATTTTAAAGGTAGAGTGATCATATCCCAAGTTTGCCATCATAATAGAGGGACTAAAACTAGAATTTGGCCATATATTTAAACAAACGATAAAATCTTCGTGGGCCTAGAACAAATATCATACAGACCCTGGTGCGCATCTTGGGCCACAGAGGCGGTGACACGTTTTCCTGGCCCTCTTAACCTCTGCCCTTTCCGCTCCGTTTCGTATCTCTAGGGTTTCATTTCGAACACCGAAAGTTCAAATCATCTGATTCTCCTTATGTTTTGTTCACAGATCTGGATTTGATATTGTTTCTCGCTTGGATTTGTTCTACTGGAATTGTCGGATTTTCCCAAGGGTGATTCAGTTTTAGGCTTTGGAGATACCGAATTGACGTTAACAGTAACCTTAAATCTTCATCAATGGTAAATGAACCTGAACCCTGATTTTTATGTTTCCTTTACTTTTTTTTCTGAAGTTGTGTACTTTATTGATTTTCTTATTAAGATTTTCACTGAAATATGTCATTTTCAGATGCTTATTTTGTTGGCCCTCAGACATGGCATTGTGGAATGTCTTCTGAAGTACTCATCTTATATTTGCATATTGAGATCATGCTTTGCTTGAGTTGTGTCGTTAAGAATTCATGTTTACGAGCAATTCCTGGTAATTTGGATGCAAAGATGTTAGTTTTTTTGCCAAATCTCACAGCAGGAACAATTTTATTGTTAATGCATCTTAGGCATCAAGCTAGTATTCTTGATTTAGGGGCTTGGTTAGGATCAGATTTAATTGCTTACGATGTTTCCTTTGGGATGGACTAAGCTTACCTTTTATGTTTTCATTTTGATAGTTTGGAGTAGTTTACCACATTATTCAAGATGATGAAATAGTTTGTTGAAAACCTTATGATGGTATATATAATACTTGTAGTTTTGACCCTAAAGTTAGTTATCTATTAAAATAGTTTGTCGAAAACCTTATGACACTACATGTAAATGTTGCGTTTTTTACCCTAAATTTGTTTACATTCGATGGCTCTAGTATGTAGTATTGTATGTGCGTTGTTTATTCACACTCAAGAAAATGGGAAAATCTTAGCATCTAAAATAACAGGAAATGCCATCAGACAGACAGTTAATTTTGATGTATTTGTACAGGCTGCAAGAATCCTAGCGAGCTTGATTGTTATGGGATCTGGCATATTGGGAAGGGCTGTATTCCAGGCATACCGTCAGGCTCTTGCAAGTACGTCTTTCATCTGTGTCAAGGCTTGCAACTAATCCTTAAAAAATAATTATCATTATATTTACTAAATTTGTATACTATGTTCTAAATCCTTGAATCAACCATTACTTCTTTGTGCTTGATTGCAGATGCCTCGAAATCTAGTGTTGCTCAAGAAACAATACAGAACATTAGGAGAGGAAGCAAAATTATGGCTGAACCAGAGGCAAGACAGATTTTAGGGGTGACAGAGCATTCATCATGGTAGGAAATCTTGAAGGTTTGCTAGATAGCTTTACCTATTATCCTCTTAGATATTATACCTTCATTTTTATGAAGTTTTGATGAAAGTTTTTCCACAAACTACATGCAGAAATATGATAACTTATTCGAGCAAAATGGTAAGAATGGGAGCTTTTACCTGCAATTCATCGAGCTAAAGAATGTTTAGAACAGTTTACCAAAAGAAAGATCAGGGAACCCGAGATGTATAATTTTGTTGAACATGTTACACCCACACCTATCACTCAATTCCACTAATTGAATAGTTCTGAATCTATACGAACCTTTTACTGTAATCCAATTAGATCAAATGATAGCAATTGCTTGTAACTCCTTGGAATGTCAGCTGCGCAGTGTGCCGAGTTTATCGCATGACAGCACTATATGAAACACAGTATGCTGATGGGATATGACCAATATGTTACATTGTTCTCTGCATAACATTTACTTCTAATAATAATTCTAGCATTCTTTTCTGTACAATTTCCTTCAATTCTTTGAAAGGGAAATGATGGATTGAAGATGGTTATAAGTATGTAGAGGTGGTAGCACTTCTTTGTTTGTTAGGCAGGAAGGCTTATTAAAAACTCTTAGTTGTTGCCTATCGGCAAGTCCACACTGATCGAAAGTGAACTTCATTTTTAATGTACGAAAGTGAAAGGAGGAACAAGAAAGCTTTGGTCCTGGAAGTGTGTCAAAAGGTGATTTTTGATAGGGTAAATGATACGTTTAGTACTCTAACTATCACTTTTATTTCGTTTAAAATAACTTTGAGACTATGAATGTATTGAGAGAAATGATGTTTGATTAGTTGGAGAGGAATCTCTTTGTCTATGTACAAAATATTTAGGGTGAGTTTACAAAACAGTCAACGACCAGGCTGGGCATTGGAACTTGAGATGTATACAATGAAGTTCTCCATAATGAGCTTGACATGAATTTTCATAGGCAGGACTTGTTCAAGCACAAGAAGATTGATTACATGTGGTGACTAAAACTCAGAAACGCGTCCCCCCGACAACAACAGTGACATAAAGCTATCATGGTTGATCTGGACTGTAATAATTTTTGTTGACATTCAGTTCTTCATCTACAACATGTTTCCATCCCCACTCATTTGCACTTCAATGCTTCTGGAATCAATTCACCCACTTTTGGATTTTTTTAAGCTAATTATTAACATTTGAAGCAGTCTACATAAGATTCTTCCTTCTTTTTTAATATTTGTATCTGTATTTATTTTTCAGCAAAAAAAAAATCAAATTATTACTATACTTTATTTTGATAACAGGTTTATTCTTCTATCCTTGGAAAATAGATTAACTAAAATAAAAAATATAATATTAATGATATAAAGGTAAAATGATAATGACCAAACACAATAATAATTGAAGGATCAAATATAGGATTTATCCTGAAAGTTTCATTCATTGACTATAATAGGTTGATAGTTGAACAACTAATGAAAGCAGTTGAAGTTGAGTGGAAATAGATGTGGAAGAGTTGCCGCTAAGTTTGACCCCCACCGCCACCGCCAAGACTCGATAATTCAGCCGCCCAGCACACCCTCCATCACTTCATTTGCCTTCGGCTCCATTCCAGTTCATTCAGACGTTGTTACTTATTAAAAAAAAACTTTAATTACCGAACATGCCATTTTTATGTAATATTAATAGAACGAATACAGGTAGACCATTGCATCAAAGAAGATCGTGAGGTTTCCCTCCATTTTTGAAGGGCAAAAGCTTGCCAAGTGTTTATTCATTGTACAACATTCACTTTTTTTTTCCAAATGGACGGTGCCGAAAAGCAAAAAGAATTTGGGAATAATTAAGATGAAGAAATAAATAAAAATAATGGGAATAATTTGGGTTTAATTGAACCCGCAAAATTTAGAACATAGTATTCGAGCACGTGAATTCTATAATCATTTGGTTTTTATGTATAATTAGATAACGATACATCATTAATTATTAGTTTATTTAATACGATAAAATATTATATTTTGTAAATTATTTTTAAAAGTTAGAATCTTAATATTATAAATTAGGAAAATTAAATATGGGAATGGATTGTCGACGGGGAATGATAATAAATTCAACCAAATAATTCATACAAATATGAGATACCAACATATATCATTATCGATGGTGAAGGATAAACATCATTAACATTAATACAAAAATACATGTAATAATGATGACTCATTGATATTACCACAACTCAATCAAGATATATCTTAGATGATCGTGAGTGTATATCAATATTTAATTCAATGGTCCAAAGTTGAGATTGATTAATAAGATAACCAAATGAACATCATTGGGAACCTTAAGAAAAAAAAATGAAATTTTCATTTAAAAATGATAATTTCAGAGATTTATATTTAAATCATAGTGAAAATTAGGTTTAGGTTTAAAACGAAGTTTGACCACAAACCAACATATATATTGCATGTGAAGAAACTGCGGTTAATGCTCAAAGTTAACCTAATTCATCAACGGAGCTTGGAATAATATTAGAGAAACATATAAAATTTCATGATCAAACCAACGATTGTGGAATTGGCAAAAACTTGAAGGAAAAAAAAAAGTTGATACAAGGGCTTTAAACAAACAAGCATTAATATAAGGAAAACGAAATGCATGCAAAAGCGAAACTCAGAAGATGCATTACTATTCTCTTGAATAGTAATAATCATAGTCTCTCGTGTTCTTGGGATGATCCGAAGTTGGCGATGAACCACCCAACTGCAATGAAAATCCACCCAAATACTCTTGTTGTTGAAATGTTAACGTTGTGGAAGATGAAGATGAAGATGAAGACTGAGAAGTGAAACCCGGCCAGGATCCGTAGGCAGCGCTTGGCATAGAATAGTTGAAAGAAGTGGCGGAGACACCAACGAGGAGTTGCGCGTACTGAGAAATATTGGGATATGTTGGTTGAGAAAGAGGTGGTGCCACCGTTGGTTGGATCTCTTGAGGAGTAGTGAAATAACCGGATTCGGATCTTAGTTGAACTCTTTCGGGGAAGTTAAGCTTTGCTTTGCTTCCTTTAAACCTAAGAGCTGCTTCATCGTAGGCCAAGGCCGCTGCTTCAGCTGTTTCGAACGTTCCGAGCCAAACCCGAGCTGCTTTTTTCGGGTCACGAATCTCAGCCGCCCATTTCCCCCAAGGCCTTTGCCTTACTCCTCTATAGTGTCTTCTCCTGCCATTCCCTTCACCAAAAAACAATACATCGTATTCAGACTTTAACTAACATTGGTTTTGACGTGTTCTGTAATGAAAAAAAAAATCAAAGAATAACTCAAAAGATACGTGCTAAGTTAGAACATGATTAATGGCTGTAATCTGAACAAGGCCACAAACGAAGAACTCAAACGTCAAAAGTCCAATGTCGAGGTGTAAATTTAGAAAATCATATTAAAAATTTAGGGGTGTAAAATTATATCATCAACATTAAATACAATAAAATATGGAGATTTGAAATTTTCAAGGGATGTGACTATATCCTAACACCTCTCGATCCATCCATGTAATGTCATTGAAAATGTTTTTTTTTTCCTCCTTTATTGTTTTAGTAATCATATGAATGTCGTTGAATTCAAAGTGTTCCTATTTGATTAGAAAGTGGGAAATAAAACAAAAAAACAAGAATTATATACAAACGAAATCAAGACATACCTTGATCTTGAGCTTCAGCTTCAGCTTCTTGATGGTGAGATTCGTTTTGTTGAGTAGTGGGGTTGGGATCATGAAGTTGAACAAGTGTGTTATTGTTATTGTTTCCAATAACTTGAGCTAGGGCTTGAACCATAGCATTCATATCTTGTTGAGACCTAGCCGAATACACCGGAAATATATGATCAATATTAGCTGCTGCTTCTTCTTCTTCTTCTTTCGCTTCCGGTTCATAACCGGAATATCGAAATGGCTGCTTCCCCTGTCGCCGATCCACTTTGCCTTTGGAAAGATTCCGCTTTTTGCTTATGGTCTTTTTCTATGTATCATGCAAAAACCAGCAAACCAAAGAATATATATATATATATAGTTTTCTCTGCTTAACCAAAGCAATAAGCATGGAAATTAAAGTAATATTGGAAGTGAAATAAAGAAGTAGAAAATGAAGAAAAAAGAGGGTGGAGAAAGGGGATTTTGTGGTGTGACTATGGATTTTTATAAGAGCTGATTAAAAGACTTAAGTGTGAATGAGGGATGAAGATAGCAGACATTGCTGAAACCCATTGGTCTATCAACTTTATTTATACACCTCTCTTTTCTTCTCTCTTTTTTTCTATGATATACAACTTAAAACTATTATTATATATTTTTTAAATGAAATTTATGATACAATTTTGAATTCATCATTTTTTTTCAGGAAAGAGACTACAACTTAAAAGTAAATAAAATAATTACATACAGAAATGCAAATGTATGTATATCTATATTACAAATAGCCCCTTGTTTTTATTAATTTGTTGGATTCTTTTAAATAAATTAAAATCATATAATTATTTTTAGGGTGGAAAGAGATATTTCACAAGTGATGTTGTATCTGTCATATTTAATATTTAGGGTTTAAGATTATATTTTTAAGATTTATGATACAGATTTACGAATCAATTTACTTCAGTAGTTAAAGGAATTGTTGTTGTTCCAAGAGGTCATAGGTTTTAGCACTAGCGATTGCAAAGGTGATTAGACGTTCGTTGTCAAATTGTTGAGAATATTTAGAATAAATATTACTTTGTAATCACCTTAGCTTAATAAAGGAAAAAAAAAATTATGATATAGATTTAAACTTTAAAGTTTAGGGTTTATGATTAGGGTTTAAAATTTAGAATCATTTAAATATGACAGATGTTATTTAAATATGATTCGAGTTTAAATTTTATATTAAATAATATTACTTTAAGACGTAAAAATTAAATTTTTTTAGAATATATTTAACGTTCAAATTATATAAAATAATTGAATTAAATTTTGAATTTAATATATCAAATTCTATAAAGTAATTAAATTAAATTTAGGGAAAATAAAACAAATTACGCAAGTTCTCTTAATTATATGTTTGCTTTTGATAATCGATGGTAATAATGCTCTCTCTTCCCTTAATGATCAGTGAAATTGTTGATTAAAGTGCTTTATATCATTCAAGTAAATAAAAATTAAAAAGTTTGAATCCTTTTGAAATCAATAATGTTTTTAAGTTTTTTTTTAAAATAATATAAATACGACACGTATCATATATATATAACTTCCTTTAAGTATAGTTTGAGCACTTACTTTTACAGTAAGCCAAAAATTATCACATATATAACTTCCTCATCTGCTATATGTATCAATCCGAGTACAGATGTTCGAATAGAATCCACCACGAAAAATATCTAACCAAGTTGTCTGTTTCAGACATTGTACTCTAAAGCAACGAGGACATAAACGAGTGAAAACAAGAAAAAAAGAATGAATGTCATTACAAGAAAAAAATAAATAAACAAGAGGTTCAAAATTCCATGACTGTAATACTTATAAATGTCGTCTCTCTCTCTCTCTTTGAGCAGCAACCACCCCCACCTAGGCTGAAGCAGCAGGACTCGAAGGGATTCCAAAACCTTGGGGACAAAAATGAAATCACAACTTTGCATACAAAACTTATACAAGAAGGATCCCTCCAGTCATGCATAAGCCCAGGAACTTCCATACATCAAGATACAGGTCGGTCATAGACTACGCAAAATTTGAAGCCCCCATAAACGGGCTATCGATACAAGAAAAAGTTCCCATAGAACGAAAAAATTACCACTTAGTTTCAGTCATGCAACTTGGTTCACAAAACTGCTTCTCTATGGCAAAAAAAAGGGTCATCAAGCCACCCTCAAGTACACAAGAGTAGGGTAGATAAAGTTCTAGTACCCTGAAAGTTAGAGCTGGTTAAGCAGACTGCTCAATCAGAATCCTTCAAAGAACCCATCGAGTCCGCCCCATTGGAAAATTCCTCCCCATTACCTAAAGTCGAAGAACTACTTTGGCGGTGGTTCTCCTCAGTGCCAGTTGTTCGAGGTCTCCCTGGTCTTGATCGAATATTAGTACCCATAGGAAAGGGCTCCTAAATAAACAAACAACAAAGTAGGACTTAAAGACCAAGAAACATCCTTCTCCATTGCCAATATAATAAGGAAAGCCACAAAAGTAAAAGTACATTATAAATTTCAGGAAAAAAGGAAATGCATTCAGCTTGTTTATGCCGTATCAAGATGACTTTACCTGATCACCAGCATTTGGGCCATCAGTATGAAAGAGAATAGGGCGGCAACGTTTATCCTCGTTCATCAAGCTTGAATTCTGGAAATGAGCAATAAGAGCAGCCTTTCCTTGGATCCTAGCATAAGCAAGAGTTGCCACCTTTTCACTGTTGAACTTTTCCCATTTTTTGCCATCGAATGCCTAGAGAGAAATATCAGTTTAACATGATTAGCTTCAATCTATCGAAATAATAGTTAAGCACATGATTAGACATGCAAATCATAGTATCTGCATACATAACAGATAATAGTGTGACATATAATCCATGTATTAAACCTTATAGAAAGGAATGATCTGTTGTGGATCGATCATGTTGATGAACGCATAGCCCACATTGCATTTGTTCTGCAGAAAACATTTATAAAATTTAGGGTGAGTAACACATCAAACTACAAGTACATGTAGCATTTCCAGGAATGAATCAGTTAATCATGGTAGGAAAACTGTTGATTAGCCAATTAAGCTAACTTGCCTTGAAGTCAATTGGCAAATAAATGAAATCATAAGTTCCTCGACAGTGCTCATCAATGGCTGCCAGAAGCATCTTTGAAGTGTACCTGCAAAAATCACAATTTTACTTCTTTTAAGGTGATAATCATATGAAAGAATAGAAGACATGAAAGAGAAGAGGTATATTTACTACAATAAATGACCTTACTACTGGATGCAATCAACAAATCTGAAAAATGAAAACGAGCACAACACCAAATAAATTATTTAAGTGTACAAACAACTCTAGTAAATTACTTCAACTACATTACAAGATATGCCAAATTGAATGAATCTGGAACTATCTGTCAATTAGTCCCAAAATATACAACATGCAGAAGTGGTGGTTCATCAACAATTACTACTTTTGGAACAATAATGAAATTTTAAAGGCAAAGTACAACAAATCATCATCAAGATGTCTATGGGGTTAAGGTAATTCGTCAAGCGATATTGTTTGGACATAAGAAAGTTTCAACCATATAAGGATACTATGAAACAAAATCATTTTAATAGGAAAGCAAACAACTCAAGACACAAGAAATTGAAAAAAAAATTGACAGGTATCTGTAAGAGCAGTAGCTCACATACTTGTTGGGTATGTTTTTAATCATAAGTGTTGTTCTGCTGTCATCCCCACGTCTGATGCGGTCAATGTCAAGTGCATATAGTTTCTTATCGGCATTACTAGAGTTCAGATCATTTCTACGCTGTGAGAAGTTTCTAACACGATCATTAGGAGAATCAAGAGATGTCGGCATTGAAATCATAGGGTTCCTGCCAGGGTAAAGGTGGCACATCTGCTGCGGAGAGTGTACCCCACCATTTTTCATCAAATCCATACCACCAACATGAGAAAAAATGTTGTGGGAAGCAATTTCCACAGGATATGATGGTGAAGTGCCATGAAAACCCACATTTCCAAGAGATCCTAGGTGAAAACCTGAAGTATCAGGAGACTCCCCAGCATAAGGATGCCATCTGTCCCATGGTGCAGAATTGGGTGGTGCTGAGCCAATATGGTGGTGTACAGATGATCCTACATTGAACATTACAGGGGGAGCCCTAGGAAATGCAGGCATGTGAGGAAGGCGATAACCATGAACACCATTGACAAATGATGGCGAATTTGGCCAAACCATGGCACTTGATGGATGCTGCTGATGTGAGTTGTTGGTCTTCCACATGTAATTATTCCCATTAACTGACAAGCTTCCATTTCCTGATGACCCAAAAACTAGAGAGAATTTATTAGCAACAGAAAGTCAGGGAGATAGTAAGCCTAAAGCATAAGAAACAATCCAATACAAGAATAGAAATAAGAGTTAAAATTTACCTGAAACTTTTAACATAATGAATTGTAAAACTTATCAAAAATATTAACATGCCAAATAATGAAAGTTCCTCATGAGTCCCCCAACAGAATGCAATAAAGATGAAGGAAAACGTGTTTCATTGATGTTGATATACAAATCAGCTGAACTTACCCCCAGCATTAGGTTCAATCAGGTGTCCATTTGAACTTGCTCCTCGAGCATGCCTATTGTCAAGTCCTTCAGCCATTGAACCGGCACTACTAGCCATGTTTGTTATGGTGCATGGCGAGTTGAGTGCAATACCATTGGCTAAGCTGTCATGGTAGTCAGGGAAGGAATGAGGATGGAAACCTGGTACCCCTTGGTTAGCATATTTCATATCATCCATAGAATGGTTGGGCTCCAGAGGATTTATTTTGTTGCCTATAGGTGCCACTCTTGCTGGAGAGGCTAGGTTAATAGGAACAGTCGAACTTCGATGAGGTTCAACAAATGTATTCACATGTGACTGGATAACTGAATGTAACACCTGGGAAGATCCATTATCCATTCCACCAGATGCAATTACTCCTGTAGAAAGTCATAAGGAATCGAGATGTATGAAGGAACAGAAACATTTTCTCAGAAACAACAGCTTATAATGAATTGATCAGATGGTAGAATTTACAGGCAAAGCATACCAATGCGTCCTGATGATAACTCATCAAAAGGGCTTCCACAACGATTAGGTTCGTCTTGCTCCTGTATAAAACTGCAAAAGGAACTTCATTTTACCACAATTTACGAAGGCCACAAAAAACACAATAAGGAAGAAAATAAGACTTAAATGCAAAAAAGGATATTCAGGCATCCAGAAAAGTATTGCATCATTGACCAACTCCATACTCGTGGCAACGTAAGGCAGAAGCAGTGAAGTGACAGAGCCATCACTTTAAATGTAATAGAAGATTTTCAATTTTAAGGATCACAAAAAGGGGAAATTACAAATGTTCCAGATTCCTTCAGAAGCTAAGGTCAAAGACAGTTTTATTAGAAGTTGAAAGAAAGCAGCAAAAGTTGATGATATTACCGCCTAACACCACCCAGACGGCTTGGTTCAAGTTTGACCTGTTTCCCAGCACCGTTACTCCTATTCAGAGCATTAAGAGCGGCTTCTGCAGCTCTAACATCATAAAACTCGATGACTTTGTGGTTATGCTTGTTTGGAGCATCACGGATCTGCCATGCAAATTAACATCAATTAGACATTTATCATCACAAACGTAAGGGAACTAAGAGGCTGAAAGAATAAATTTTGTACTTCTTTAATTTCCCCAAAAGCACCAAATATTCGTTGAAGCTCGTCAGTTGAAACAGAGGAATCAAGGTTGAAAACCACCAGCATCCCTTGATCTACATCTTTTTCACATGCATTGTCCTGAGGTCATAAAATTAAAAAACTTAATAAATAAATAAATAAAGCAGCAATGTTTCACATGAAGATGCATCAGCGCTTAGACAAAACAAAGGTAGTAAAAGCAGTGAGGGTAATAACAAAATGGTAAACAGTAACCATCCAGAACAAAATGGTTGAAGCCACACCTGTGGAATTGAATAATGTATATCAAGTTCCCTACGCCTCAATGGCTTATTTTGCAGAGCCTTCATTGCATTTCTGGCTGCCCTTATATCATAATAAGAGATCATAACAAACCCACGATGCTTGCAGGCAGTATAAAGAGTTTGGATATCTCCATATTGCTGACAGAAGGAAAAAGGTTACTCAATTTAACTTAGTGGAACATGCAGCAATTCAAATGGAGTGGATGGAGGAAAATTTGCTAGCACAGAGTCTCAATAAACAGTATGACAATGGGAAGGAAACACAAACCTCAAAAAGAGTCTTTAACTCTGAGTCTTCAACATTGCTATTAATGTTCCTTACAAAAAGTGTCCTAAAAGGAAGTTGACCATATGGGTGCTCACCAACAATTGAGCCATTGGAACCCCCTTGACTGTTTAGTACTCCGATAAGATCTGAATTCCTTGGACCCATGGATCCGTGATCATCTCCTTCTAATTCCATTCCTCCGCCACTGCTGAATAGGTCAAAATCTTCTAACTCGTCCCCTTTACTGGCATGTGTATTGAGTCCCAATTCACCAATCACTCCAGAGAAGAGATCATCTTCATCAGGGAGGAAATTTCCAATAGTCTGTGCCTCAATTTCTTCCATAGATTTGAGAGGTTCCTCTTCATGGTGTGAAGCAACTTTACTGGCATGCTGAAAAGATAGATCATTCCCCAATAATCTCACTGCATAAAGATAAAATCAAACAAAACCGCAGATTAAAATTATGAGTAACCCGGAAAAAAAGAAAGGAAATGCAGCATCGTAAAATAGATATTAGCTCAAATCTGAATCCGTCAGAATGAAAATTGTCCTAATGAGTAGGTTGAACCTCGGGCATGGAAAATAGGAAATTTTTAAAATATAAATGTGAAAAGATTAACACAATGTATGCAGATGACATGAGTTTAATAAAACAGCTTCATACTTTCTTTTAGAGTTATGTTTGTTGTGGGAAATGACAATCATTGATCAAGCCATGCAATATAATATCAATTAAAGCATTTGATACTAGAGAAGCAGGGAAGAAACATTGCAAACATTGAATTCATGTATGTACATGTTGAAAACTGTCATAGTGTTTGATCAACAGACAAAAATACTTACATTTTCTACTAAATATTTCAGACAGCGAACTTGAAAACAGACTACTTTCATGCTGGATCACATTGGCATTGCAGCTGTTTCTATTAAAGTTCACCACTGGTTGCATATGCATATTTGATAATGATTTTGGATGATTATTCACAGAATTCCATGAAGGCTCAGATAAGTTGGTAATTCCATTCCAATTGGTGTCGAACTTTCCTTCTTGATCTCTAACCAGATTTGGTGGAGGCGAATGAACCCTCTTGTCTGCAAAGACCAGCAGCTTTTTAAAAGACAGGAAGATAACCATGAACAGGTTTTGCAAAAAAATAGCCCGTATTATTTCATTCAAAAGATCTGAGATTTCTAGGTAATACATTAAATGCAAACCACACTTACCTTTATAAGGTATTTAACATGTGTAAGAGCAAAATTTTCAAATGATTTCCAAATACTCACATGTGACACCAACAAAAAATCCATAAAGCAAGAAACATATATCTAAAAAGAATATGTCAAATAAAGGTACCAAGTTAATCAATGTTAATTGTTATCCCATAAGACAAGATCATTTTCCAAAAAATATTTGTGGACAGGTGAAAGGTTGCGACAAATTAAGCACTTCACAGAAGCTGGAAAAAAATACTAAAATGGACACCAACTTTTGGCTCTTAATTTTATAAATATGTTTCAATCACTTCTGAAAACAGTAGGCCACGAGTCAATCTATAATATATCTGTAGCAAGAAACAAAAGCACTTTCACTCATAACTAACATATACTAATTTAGCACAATTGAACAGAATTTCATCAAAATAGATAACAAATTCCCAATGGGGAATTTAGTGCTTCAGAAGAACCATCAGTAGTCAAGCTTTCATTAAGAATAATTTAAGCATATTACCGCGTTCTTTTGACAAATGCTTCAAAGAAGATATACCCCATATTTCCATGATACAACTTGAATTGGCAATACAATCATAAATATACTTAACATTCTGATTGATGGACTCGGGAATCCTTTTGATACAGAAAAACGTAACTGCTGGAACCACGCAGTTAGTAGTTCAATCTTTTGGATTGTTCACTCAATTGTAAAAGCCAACTGTGGTTCTTAAATACATTCCACGTGTCATCACTTAGGAGCCACAGTTTCTAACAGTAATCAAGAGACCATATTGATCTTCATTAAGTTCAATGATGACAAAAGCTAAAAGTTGCCTCTAATGGTCCAATCCTGCTGATCAGAAACTGATAGCCAGTTGAAATGGACAATGACTTTAAATAAACAGATTAATATTTTGGATTATTCACTCAATCATAAAGGTTTAACCATGGGTCTTAAATACATTGCATGTGACATCACAAAGTTAGGGGCCACAAGTTCTCACAGTAATCAAGAAACGGAATCAATCTTCATTAATTTTAATGAACGCAAAGCTAAAAGTTCCCTCTTATGGTCTAAATGGTAGATGCATTTAAATAATCCGATTAACAGCAAACAAAACCACCAGTTTAGTCGTCCATAGCACTGTTCTTACCTTGGCTATCAGCCAGGGTATTTGGCTTCCAAAATCCAATTTGTCTCTGCCCAACAGAAGTTGATATTAAAGCAACATGAAAAAAAATTGTTTTTTTTATAATGGGGATTGGGGACTTAAAAGTTTCAGGGTAAAAAATGATCAAAAAATCATATTTAAAGGAGCAAATTCAGGAACCCTGCAAGAGCCTTTAAAACAAGAAATATAAAGATCCAATAAACTCAAAATACAAATTAAATAAATAAAATTGGTTGTATTATTATGCCCTAGAGTACCTCATGTGGGAAACGAACATCATCCGAAAGGTGGGATGATGCAGATGTATTCTTTTGATCCATGATCTCAAATGGAATTGTTCAGCTTCAACACCGAAAAATCTCAAAAACTAAAAGCTCAAAATTTGTCACTTGAGGCTCCGTTCTAAGGTAATCGCCATAGCCTACAGCATTCAACAATCACCAATTCCTAATCAGAAAACTGCTAATCTTGTAGGTTATTTTTTTCAATAAACAAGAATAACAGAAAAAACGAAAGTGGAACTTGAAATTCAGAAGAAATTGTAATAAATTAATGCATTAATTCAAATTCTGAACGGATTTCCTTTTCATCTATCAAATATCATTGAAAGGAGTGAAGATGACACAAAGGCTAGCTACTTTCTTCAGAAATTGGGATCTTTAAGGGAACATAACGGGAGTTTTTTTCTTTTTAATAATTCAAATAGGTTGAAACAAGATGTGCCATGAAAAGGAAAACCAGTAAGCCACTTACCTACCAACAACCAAACAAAATTTACCGTTTGGTTTCCAAGAAAATGTAAGATTTTTTTTTAAAGAAAATCATCAATAGTAGGTTTCGAACACAGTAAAAGGTGATTTTTACATTTTAAAAAAACTAAATTCACAATACTAAAATTATACTTCCTTTTCCCCCACGCTTTTCTAAACGAAATTCTTTATAAAAAAATATGTAACTTGAACCCTAAAAAACAAGTTGTTAAATACCAGATCAGCTAAATCAAGCTTTGAATTTCTGAAAATAAACTATTTTCTAATAATTTACCTTTTCCCACTTATTAAGAACAATATTCTACAAAAACTCCTGATCATACCAGGGAATAAAATTGTGGAAGGAAAAGGCATGAATTTCAAAACTTTACTAGCAAAATTGAGGTAAAATATTAAAAAAAACGTTAAAATTTTATTAAGTTTGACCTAAATAAAACAGAAACTAAGCCTTACCTTGTGAATCAAGAACCTGAAAATTCTGCCTGCCACCTTTATTATGTATTGATGCTCAACGGGAATTTAAATATTTAAAAGACAGATCAAATTTGAGAGAGAGAAAAGAAAGAAAAAAATTATAGGATAAAGGAAGAAGATAGAGGAAGGGATCTCAGCATCTTTTTCCTTCCATTGTAAGCCATTACTCACCACATGAGAGAGAAGAATTTTTCCTCCTCTTTTTCTTTGTTTTCTTCTACAAAACCATAATTGCAAAATCATACACCAAATTCATAAAAGAAAATAATATTCGTTCTCTTTGTGGCAGATTGATTCCGGGGAGGTGAAAAGAAAAAAGAGATGAAAAATCCCGGCGATCGAGAGAGCGAAATTCCGGCGAGATTTGGTTTCTCGCCGGTCGCTCACCGCTGCGTTTTGGAAAGGGAAAACAGAGCGAAATGGAGAGACAGCGAAGGTGTTGTGTCGTGTTGTTGTTAGTTGGCTCTGAAAAAATGAGAAAAAAAAAGTTAAAGAAAAACAGAAAATAAAATAAAATCCTCAAAACGCGACCGCTTAATTTTTAGGGGAAATTTTGGTGGTTATAACGGCGTTACGGTTGTGTATAGACCTGGACCCGATGCTTTAAGATTACGGAAAATGAGCTGGCGTTTAGTGTATTTCTTTTAATTTATAAAAGTCACCAATCAAATTTTGACTTAATTCTAAGGTTAAGGTTTCGAGTATTTAATATTTTTCAAGATTGACATAAAATGAAATAATATTAGCATCATACACAAGAACTAATAGCCCTTTGTATTAGGATTTTCTGGCATCTTGATAAGTTTTTTTTTTCTGTCTCCTGTGATACATCTTGAGTTTGATCTCAATTATCTAGTTCTGCTAGTTTTTTAAGTGTGATCGTTTGTTAGTTTGGTGGAATATTCAGAGGGGATGTTGAGAACTAATTGGAAGACCTTAATGTGGGAGAGGAGGAGAAAGCTCCTATCCTAGAACAATCGTAGCCTCGACGCAAATTTTCTTCGATAAGTGTTATGTGGGTCGACTTCTTAATGCTATTCAAATTAATTTTCAAGCGATGAGGCCGATATTGGCGAACGTATGGCATCCTTTGAAGGGTATATCCATCACGACTTAAAAGAAAACATGTATTTATTTTGATTGTATCATGAGGAGGACTTCAATTGTATAGGTTCTGAGGGTCCCTGATATTTCAATTCGCATCTTCTGATATTGCACTGACAAATTAAGGGGAGGATTCATTGTTGGTGCCTTTAGGTATTGTAGATTTTTTTATGCTTGTTAACGACTTGCTAGTAGAATCTATTTCTGAACAGGTTAAAAGAAAACTTTGTGGGAACTTCTGTTGAATATGATACTAGAGCAGTGGCGTTGGGGTATAGGGGATGTATCTGGATTCATGTGAGCCTGGATGTGATTTAGCTTGCTTTACCGAATATTTCTTCGATCTATGTTCTGTTTCAGTATGAAAAAATGAGGCTATTCTGTTTTCGTTGTGGCAAATTGGGTCATGGAGAAAATTTTTGTCCATCGCCTATCCATCAAGATAAGCAGGAGGTTGAGTTGTAGTGGGATGTCTCCATTCGTGCACCACCACGAAGGGGATGAGTGACTACAAGCCCTTGGCTTCGAGAGGAGGTTACGAGTGATGGGAAGAATAGTGCACAAAAGGAATGAATAGTTGTGCAGTCTTCTACTGGATAGCATCAGGTAGACGCTTTTTGCCCTGTGTTCAAAAATCTATTGGCTGTGTTGAAATAACTGAACGAGAATCTGATGTGGTAATGGTCTCCACTGAAGAGGATAATCTGTTACAAAAATAAGATAGGGCGACAGGAGAAAGAATTGTCCCATCAAAATCTAGTTCAAAGGGAAAGAATGTTGTTGGAAACTTTAATCAAAGTCCTGAAATCACAGGCCAACCGAACGCAATGAAACTCATAAGCTAGAACGTCCGAGATTGGGGATGCCCCTGACGGTTTGTCGTCTTCGGCACATACTGAAAGATGCTAACTCTTATGTAGTTTTTTTTATGGAGACGAAACTACAGATTCACGTATGGAGAATATTTGAAAGTTTTTCGGGTTTTATTTGCATGGAATCGAAGTAGAACCACAGGGTAGTGGTTTGTGTTCAGCTTGGAAGTCTAATTGCAATGTTACTTTTCGTTTTTCCCCTTGTTCACACATTGACGTTATTATTGCTATTGATTCGAATGGACATTACTGGATATTGAAAATTTAATCCATCCACTTTATTTTTATAATGTTAGTTTTTAATTATTTTAGTTTAAGTATTAAAGTCCCTTTAATAATATTATCAAGTGGCTTCTACTAAATTATGTGATATTGAAAAGAACATTTGTTCACATAGTCGATATAACGCGTGTGGAATTAAAATTGAAATTAAAGTTTTACTATATTATTTTAGATAAGTAGGGTCCATGGTAAATACATTTTTTTATAATGTTAAAAAATATTTATAACGTTTGATTAAATAATTAGTTTTCACTCTCTTTTTTTTTTTTGAATATTTTAGTCTTTAACGTTTCATTTTAAGACCAAAAATCTTATGACTAGATAAAAAAATATTAATTGACTAACGGTCAATGCTTATTGTTGTCGTGAAAAAATCATATTTGTCAGATTTACTGATATGACACATGTCACTAGAGATGGCAAACGGGTACAATTTCGTGGATTCCGCACCATATCCGCTCCAATTGGGGTGGGGATGAGTATAACTTTAGTGGGTAGTGGGCGGGTGTGGATCTAGAAAGTGGTACCCGTCGCGGGTAGTGGGCGGGTGATGGGTTTGATACCTTACCCGCCCGCCCGCTAAATACCCATTAAATTTTGGACCATTATAAATTTAGGTATAATTTTAGGGCTTGTCATTTATGTGTGTCAAAAAATAAAAATATTATGTATTTGTCATTTATGTTTCTAGTTTTTAATTATGTCTTTTTATTATGGTGTTTTATGTACTTTAAGATCTATGTTAATACTTAACTTAGATAATTTTTGGTTTATTTTATTATGTTTCTTTAATGGACGTGTTTGTTTTATTTTTTTGTTTATGTAAAACATAAAGTTGCTGTCAGGCGGGTCTAGCCAGGTACATCTCCAGTTGTGTAGTGGGTGTGGGGATGGATTTAAGAATGTACCCGTGTGGGCGGGTGTGGATTTGAAAAATTTTACCTATCATGGGTGGTGGGCGGGTGGTAGATTTTAAAATATTAAGTGGATATGAATATGGGGAGGAGGTATTCGCACCCGATCCATCCGTTTGTCATCCCTACATGTCACGTGTTTAAAGAAATGGCCTGATGCATACATGTCTAAAATAATGACATGACATTGTTACGTGACTAAAGTAATGACATGAAACATGTTATGTCATCACTTTCAGTGACAGATTTATAAATATTTTCCAAAATAGACACATGTGTAGATAATAGTTTTTTTTTTTGTATGAGATAGGCATCAATAAAATTTCATGGTAAACGTCATTAATAAAATGAACAACAAAAATAAAGAAATTTGAATTTCATAATAGACACGTACACATCTTAAAATATACATGAATCCGCTAATGATTACTTTGGACACGTAGAACTTATCATGTTTATATAAAACTTGTCATGCCAACTATTAACTTATAAAGCACATTATTATAGAAGAGATATCAAATTAAAAACTCTAGAAATTTAAAATTTCAAAATGACTTGTTTGGTATGATATTTTTATTAATTTATAGTGCACATTATTATAAATCGGAATAGAAAAAATTAGGAAAGAAATCGAACCTATGGGCCAATTTCAATATAACGTAGTAATCAATTAATAATATATAAACGTATTGTAGATATATTTATTCGAAAGATTTTTAAGAGAAGAATACTCTATTTTACTATTAAAATCAATTAATGAATTCAAATAAAATTTAAATTTTAATATTATAAATAAATAAAATCAAATTAAAAATATAGTCTCATAATAAATTTGTGTAGTATTCTATTTAAATTTCGATGGTTAAAAAGAGAACACAGGCTGTTGTCAATGATTTTACGTGGCATTCAGCTATTAGTTTCTCCGCCGGAGCAGCAAAGATTTTGTGTTTTTTTTATGTATCACAGAAAATAAATGAAAAGTGGTTTTCTTTATTTTTTTCCATTTTTAAATTGACATCGGCACTTGCTTTTTATTGGGAATTGTGAATTACCAGCCAATCATAATTCCTAAAATCATTGGTGTGGGACCCAGTGTTCAGACCGGGTTTAATATATATTATTTATTTTATAAAATATTACAAATTCTCTAGGGGAAGAAAGATATGTCATCGGACATCGGTAATACCTCCAACTTTGATTTTTAAGTATTTTTAATTTTAACTTGAGAATTTAGCTTTCTGTTTTGAAAATTAAATTATTAGAAAAAATATTTATAAATATTCTAAATTGAATATGGAAAATACCATACTCATATATATTCATTTTGTATTTGTCTAGTTTTATATTTTATATAGTATTCTAATTATTTTGCATGTTTTATCTAATATTACATACAGGGGTAAATTTTGTATTGAATTAAGTGAAAAATATTTATTAAATTATTATTAAATTTTACAAAACAATTATTAAAATTTTGAACAGTTATAAAATTTTGACTTTTAAACTTCTTAAATTTTATTATTATTTTATAACATGTGGTATCATTTTATAATAATTCGATATATTTAATGATTAATTTATAATTTCAAAAAAATTAATAACTGACAATATTATATTGATATATTCTAAAGACCATTCATACATTTCAGTCTATATTGTTTAATCTAGTAGAATATACAATATGAACAGTGACTTATCTCTTATCTTATCCTTCTCATTGATTTTAAAGATGGAATGGAATGTTATATTTCTTCTTCTTTCTTAAATTTTTATATATATAATTTTTAAACTATAATTTTAAATATTAAAATATTATATATATATATATATATATTAATATTTGAGTTCAAATAATTATGTTTATAAGATATATGTGTTATCAATTAAAATATTTTAAAAAATATATTATTTTATAATTACCTCGTACTGTTTAAAAAATAAAAACCAACAATCAGTTGGTCTAATAGGATGAGGCATTAAGTCCCTTAAGAAAGGTCAGGGGTTCGAATCCTGACATTTGCGAATTGAGCAAACTGGGTATGGAGAATCGCCCTCGCCTCTGCAACACTCGATCTGGATTAATCGGTCAATAGATCAGATATCAATGATTAATTAAAAAAACATTTATATTTTAATGGATTTTTTTAATGAAGGACTAATATACTCCTTGTGATGATGGCGTAATACAGCTTGGCATATTCTCTTTCTATAGCCTTTTAATAAAATTAGTTTAGGCTGATTTAATTTTGATCTTTTCAACATACTTTAAATTATTTTTCTTCCTTTTTAAAAGCATCAATTATTCATTTAT